CAGGAGTCTTCTTCTCCAGCACCAGAGTTCAAAGGCCTCCATTCTTTGGCGCTCAGCCTTCCTCGTGGTCCAACTTCCACAGCCATCCATTGCAAAACCATTGCCTTGACTAGACGCACTTCCGGTCCTGGTGGAATCTGAGTTCAAGCGTCATCCTTACAATTTCCCTACAACTTTTTATAGCAAATTTATTATCAATAAATTAATATTTGCAGCGTTGACCTTGTGCAGCCTAACATTTAGTGTTTTTTCCATGTCCTTCCCACTTTGAAGAACCAACTCTTAGAACTGTAGAGGATTTGCCGGCAGACCCTGAAGGAAACGGGTGGCGAGATGCTGTTTTTCTCTCTTCGCCAACACCCTCCCACCCCGTTAACTGCCGTACCCCTCATCTTTAGGTCTTCTCCCTCTGGGCCCAGGTCTATGTCTCAGGAGGCCCATTTTATCTCCATCAGATGGGGATAGCTGGACAGCTTCCAGGGACACAATTGCCTACCTATATTGCCAACAGAAAGTGTCCAAGCAGAAGGTAATTGCTTCAGCTATGTGGCTCTCTCTGGCAGTCCAAGAAGGGAATTGCTGATAGGATCAAGGCCGTACTTTGCTGGCAAGATAAGAGATTGACACATTGCTTTTATGGCTGAAATGAGGAGCTCTTTTCATCCCAGCAATCATTGACAGAGTCAGCAGGGGGGCTGAAGGGGAAGGGGCTGCACGTGGCCGAGGGGCCCGAGCCTGGTAACGGGTGGAAATCCCCACAGAGAACCAGAAAAAAGCCAACGGAGGAAACCAATTAGGCCACTGCTCGCTCCTGTCCCGGATGAAGGCAGCTCTGTTCTGCCCTTCGAGGAGCCCAATCCTTGGGCTACCCGGCAGGCTGGCTGATGAGCAGCCCCGGGGCCTGATGCTTTCTGCAGGGCTGGCCCCAGCTCTCCATGCTGGCAGCCGTCACTGCTGCCCTTCGCCTTCTCTGCACTGGGGAACGGGTGACGTTTCCCCAGGATTCTTCATTCTGAACAGCTGAATAGCTTTTGTCCTATGGAGGGAAGGAGGAGGTGCCATTTGCTGGCACTAAAGGAAATCCATGACCTGGGGGGGGAGGGGGGGCAGGCCAGGCAGGGAGGGGGGCCTGATTCTCAGGGGCTACATCCCCGCCAAGTCTGATGCTTGACTGGATGCTCTTGCAGAGCCCAGGAACCACCATCTGTCCTGAGATCAGGTCGTCAGTGTCCTGACTGGCCGGCTGGCTCCCATCG